TCCGCCGCGCTGCGCCTATGCGTGTTGGCGAACTTCACATGTCTACGAATTATTTTCCTCAGACATGCAGGTTTCCTCACGATGCTTTCCTTTACCGCCGAGCACATGGTAAATCAGCACTTAAAATTGCAATTACCAATTATTTTGGTGCCGGCGGGGATCGAACCCGGGTTGCTCGTGTGCTGTGAAATTTACCGCGAGCGCTAACCATCTGAGCAACCACGGTTCATGAGTACCTATATATTATACAGACGTATGATTATTTATTTTTACGTATAGTACCTATATAAATAATTAAATAATAAAACATAGAAGTAATCCTAAAACTAATAAAGTTTCCACAGATATAGTACGAGAGAGTAATATGGTCATCCGGTTAATATGGTCCCCTTTTTATAACTCAAAAACTACAACGAAAACATGAGAATTTGAATATAGCTCAAATTCGGATGACAATGCAAGAATATAATAAAAAAGTGGCATTTTTTGTTTGACTTAAAGACATGGGATTATGGCATTATGGATTATGACATGGGAAATTTTATATTGTATTTTGTTGTTTCAGGTACGTACGTACATCTGCTATATGTAGTACAGATGAGGAACAATATATTTTATGAAGGAGAGGTAGATATCAATCGACGGATAATTTTAAACCTTATAATTGTTTCTTTATTTTTTTTATATAATAAGGGTGACAAACGAGCACACAGTCCACCTGATCGTAATGAATGCTGTGGCCCACAGATCTATCCTCGATTGAGACTCAAAATGCAAGATGCGTTGCCACCGCTGAGGGCTAGAATGGAATGCCTCATTTCCAGTAAAAAGGGTCTCCGGTTCTCTACACTCACCATACGAAACACAGCAGCACTGAGCTACTATTTTACGCTGGTATACTGCGAGAGCGTGTGTGTATGTGTATGTAAACCTTTCATAACTTTAGAACGGCTTAACGAATTTGAACGAACTTGGTGGCGTTCAAAAGAGTCTACCAAACTTAGATTTTCAGTACTGTTTTAACCGATTTCAACTGGTAGATTTAGAAAAATTTAAAAAAATAACATTTTAAATCAACGTTTTTTTTTTTGGAATAACTTTTAAACAGATATAACGATCAATTCCAAAATCTAATCAGCTCTTAAACATGGAAAACGACGTCGATTGCTGCGAACCGCTTCAAAATCGGTTAATGCGTTGAAGAGAAATCGATGACGAAAATTTAAAAAAAAGTGGTTTTTTTTTCATAACTTTTGAGTTTATAGTCTAATCGTTCTTTTTATAATGGATTTTATTATTGTTCTTAAAATAGCACCGCCAGTGAAACTTAATAAGTTACTCTTCTTCGTGTTCAACTTTGTAGTTCTATTTTAGTAATGAATTTTTTTTGAATATAAATTAGTATACGACAATTTCAACTATGTAATTGTTTCGGCCCGATATCTCTCTTCTTCTGTCACTTCGTTCCTTATGTATAATGTTTTTGTAACACCCATAAAACCGCAGATTTCCCCGTGGGCCGGCCGCCAAGTGGCTGTTAAATTTTGCAGCAATCTTCGGTTAGCCGGCCGTTATCCAGATATATTCGCTCTGTTCAATTTTGATTAGGAGTGGTATTTATCGTAATAGGGAAAAATAACAGGTGTTTAGAAATAACAGGTATTTATAAATAACAGTTTTTAACTTGTGTCTGTGTGTGCAACCTCAAGACCATAGTAGTGGCAGTGTAAGATTATCATCTATCCCATATCGTACCGTTGGTGTCGTAAAAGTTGACTGAGGAAAACAAATCAGGAGAATTTCGAAAAAAGTGTTTTTTTTTTCACATCACTTTTGAATTTATAGTCTAATCGTTTTTTTTTTAAATAGATTTAATTTTTATTCTTAAAATACCTCGCCTATTGCCACCAATTACATCAAAATCGGTTGATCTGTTCGAAGGTTATCGTTGTAAAAAAAATTCGAAAAGTGTTTTTTTTTTAATTACTTCGAAATTTCTGCTCGGGTCGTTAAATTTTTAAGCTTAAGTTAACTCATTACATCAAAAAAGATTTGTAATGAGTTAACTATTAGTTTATAAAAATGTTTGTCAAGGTCCACTGTTTTTCAGATTTTTATTAAACACTTTTATACTGGTGAGTGTAGAGATCCGAAGACCCTTTTTTACTGGAAACGAGGCATTCCGTCTTAGTCCTCAGGGATGACAACGCATCTGCGTTTTGATTATTAATCGAGGATAGATGTAGATGTCTATGAGCCACAGCATCCATTTACCATCAGGTGGACTGTGTGCTCGTTTGTCATCTATATTCTATAAAAAATACAGTCATCGTGTTTATTAAAATTATACGACAAACTCTAAACTAAATTCAGATGTATTACTCGTAAATTGGGGCAGTCGACCGATAACAATTTGATTTAATATGACGGTTCGTTATACGCCACAATGATAGAACTCCATAAAATAGTGCTCAAATTTCGAGGCTAAGACTCGTGAGAGCTCGAGGCCCGGGCGTTCACCTTCATCTTATGACAAGAGAAAAAGGTTGAGAGAATCTCGGGCACGGAAAGCGGTAAACGATAGGTTTTGATTGTTCATCTTAAATCCGATAAAACTAGAGTAGGAACTTTTCCAGTGTTTTTTATAGACAGTTCTCGAGTAACTCGGGTTCGATACCCGCCAGCACCAATAAAATTAAAACCTATTCAACTGCAGAAAATCGTTCTCACAAAATATTGTATTGTATCCCCTTAACTATACAATACAGTTATTATGGCAAAATCGCTGGAAGATCTCAAAATAATGCACAACAGTGTCTCCTAATAAATAAGACTTAACATTTTCACGGACGGCACCAGTGACATCTGAAATTTGAAGTGCTGAATCACCACGTGCTCGACAAGGAAGCCTGCATGTCTGAGAAAGAAGAATTTTTTTTTCTATAACATGTAAAGTGCGCCAACACGCATTGGGGTAGCGTGGCGGATTCTTCCTTGCTCTAAAACCCTCACAAAAGGGCCTGCGTCCACCAGTGGGGCGTGTATAAGCTGTAACTTTAACATTTTTAACTTTAAGGTGACAAACGACCACACAGTCCACCTGGTGTAAGTGATTGCTGTGGCCCATATATCAGTCCAGTCAAAATAGACATTTGACTTAGCCAAAAGTCGCATAGAGCTGAAAATTGGCAGAGACGTTAAATACATTAGTATAAATAAAATGTCAAAAATCCCCGTCGATCCTACTTCTGCAAAAAAATTTTATTCAAGATCAAACGTGCAAAATTTAGGTTTTTTCCATTTTTCTCGAAAACGGTAAGTATTATCGTAAAAATAAGTCAGACAAAAGTTGTAGATCATACAATTCTCTACAAAAATGGTTCAGTCACTTTTTCTCTTAAGACTCACCATTCATAAGATATCGCGGTTATAATAATAAGAAAATTCATATTTTACATAATATGCTCACATTTCCGCACCACCTACGAGGTATAATGTACTTGGCGCATTTTTTTAACGTGGTTTCCCCAGTAGGTATACTCCACGATCGGTAATAAAGAAAGTTGATCGGATCGTATCTTATTGATTGAAACAATGATAATATTGCTAATGATCAAAGTGGAATAGGTTGTTTTCTTCTGAATGTTATTATATAGATAATTGTCTACTACTAATCTACTTCGACAATTATTTCTTCGTCTTCATTTTCTTCTTCTTGCAGAATTTCTGTTAGCTGTTCTAAGAAAAGGGATGCATCAATCGTTTCTTCATTAATATCATAAATATTTTCATCTGTTGTATTTGTTTCAATATTGGAGCAAGTCTGACCCTGACAATTGATGCATACTGGCGAACAAATTAATCCAACTTTTTGACAGCCACAATTCTTACTACAATCCGTCTTGCATTTACAAAAAATAGCATTAAGCAGTTTTTCTGGAGCAGGGTGAGTATATTGAAGTTATCTGTTAATATCCAACCCCATCCTTCTCGGTCCAGCTCATTGCCTAGCCACACTTGAACCTGATAATACACACGATACAAGCGTTGAAAGGCAGAAGCATATGTTGGAGACGGACAAGACAACTGTACTGTTTTATTGTTCCATGCAGATTTTACAAACCTCAAATATCTATATTTATCTATGGAATCAATTTTTTTTTGGAGCACCATACATTGCAAGAAGAAAACGAATTCCATTTCTAACGATGTCGTGTGGAGAAGAGTGAATCTTTGTAAATACTTCTGCACAATCAATTAAATCATTGCGTTTTTCGAACAATTTAAATACTGCTATTTTACCTCTTTTAAAAAGTGCTGATGTAGTATCGCAACCAGTTATTGCATGTAAAAATAAAATATGAGCTTGACATTTCGGATATGCAGTCAGACTTTGTGATGAATATATTGTTGATTGTACTTGAGCTTTCCCAGGTTTCAAAAAGTAAATAATTTTATCATTTGGAGTCCGTGCAGTCAGTAATATCAACAAATCAACATCTTCCCCAACAACGACAGTTGTATTTGAACTTTTCCATTGTTCTATTGCTCTTTCAGTTATAAGGACATCAGCATCATTATCAGCTTGTTTTATTGGAATGCCAGCAGCTGTTAATTCTTCACATAACATTGAATGAATCCAACTTATTGTGGTATTTACAAGAAATTGTTGTTGGTTTGTTGGAACTTTCATAGATCGATCAAAAACGACATCAACAGATGAAGATGTTTTTGTAGTCCGACGACGTTGTTCTGCAGCTTTAATATTTTTCGTATGATTAGTATAAACATCAAATACAATCGTACTGTTATGACCAAACTAATACTGAACATATTTTTCAAAAATAGTTTGAAATGTTTCATCTCGATCCCATACCACACGGTGTAATAGATACCCTCCATCGATGATGTAGATAGCATTTGTGTTATCAATATCGAAGTTTAAACATTCAAAGCAATTATAAAGAGCTGACTTCATAGTTTTACGTATTCCCACTGCATCAAAGAGTGAATGGGTAAGGAGCTAATTCATATGCGAAGAATGTTTCAAGTTCATATTCAAATGTCTTAGTAATGCTCATGCGTTTAAATAATAATACAGGATCTATAGGCACCTTTTCATCATATACTTTTATGACGCTACTTGCACTTAAAAGAGGAAGTACTCTATCAGCGCGTTTTAATTTAATATTATTAAACGTTTGGCCAGTCATTTTGCTTATAGAAGCAAGTCCAACTGCACGAGCATTATGACAATTAATTTTATCATCGCCGACGACTCCGCTGGACATAATTTTTGGAATCACAGGGAACGGATCATGTGATAAGAGCCACTCCAAAAGTTTATTAATATCTTCAATATCTCTCTTTACACGAGAATCGCTTGCATCCACATGCTGGTCTGTTGTGTCCATTCTAACGTTAGCGAGATCTTCCAATCCTTCACACATAGTATTCATCGTATGCATGCCATAAACCCATTTACTAATGACACTTTCTTGCGTACTTCTCCCTCGAGCAACACCTCCATCTGTTTTCATACACTTCATCATTGATTGTTCAATCACCATATCCGTCGAAGTTCCACAGTTTAATTTACCAGAACGTCTAAGAGTGAAAAATCCTTCGATAAATCTTTGATAAACACTAGGATCCATCAAGTTCTCTAATTGCACCATATCTTGTAGATATAAATGCGCAGACTTGGCATAATTAAAATGTCCTGAAGCATGAAGATAAGGAAGCATTTCTTTAACGCAATTCAAATGAGATCACCAATCTCCCATACGTTCAGCTCTTATAAATTGCTTTGCAATAGACACCATATGAAAATATTGTATCCATAGTTTTGCTGAAGGTCCTCGTTCTCCGTGCTCCTGTAGTTTTTCATTAAACTGATAAAGTAATGCTTCAGCTATTTCATCGCCTTCTTCAATATCATTGTAGGAAATAGTTTTGTTTGTTACAAGTTCAATTGTATTTGTAATATTTTCATCCATCTCACTATCGAGAAGAAGCTCTTTGGATATTACTGTTGCTAAAGTAAGATGAAGCAAGGTATGAGCTCGAACAGCTCTCGCGTAAGCATGACCATTGAGCATTTTTTCTAATGAATTAGGTACATAAATTAGAGAAAGTACTTCTTTTATACCACTTCCTTGCATAATATAACCAATCGCTCCAAAAAAAGACATAAGTAAATGAAAACCTCCAAGTCTTACTATGATCTTCGATAATTCAGATCCTTCAGGAGCTGCGGATACGATTTCTCGAGCTTTTGCATACAAAGGTTGATCAAAAGTAATAATACAATAATCGTGGCCATAACGTTTTGCATCTTCTAAAGCACACAGTAAAGTTGTGTATATGGTATTGTAGTTACTCGCTGGTTGATGAATAAATGGTAAAAATAAAATTCGAGATTCCGAAAAATTTATAATATTACTTGTTAAATGTTCAATATAAACATTCCAACCAGGCAATAATAAATTTTTCCATTTCCCATATAACCATAACATATCTACTTTTTTAAGTAAAGATGTTGGTGTATTACTTTTATAATCAAAATCCTGCACAGCTATTTTGCTATATCCTACTACAACATCTGTTTGATAGACTTGTATTAGCACATGAGCTTTTTCTGCAAAATGTTGCACTGACGGAAGTATGTTTGTTCGTAATATAGGCTCTTCTGCTGTAACTGAACTTTTTGGAGTAATAATTTTAATAATCCCCTTGATGTGAATTATATCAGCGTTGTCTGCAACATACTGAATAAATGTGCCAGTTTTTGGTGGCAAAATATGCGGTGGACGATGCAGAACTGCTGCTGCCTCATACATTATAGTATCATTATATGATGCACATAATCCGAAAGACGAAAAAATCTGTATAAGACGTTTTGATCCAAATCGTCGATGAAAAAAAACTGATAAACCCAATTGCAATCTTGATTTGAAAGAGCTAGGCCGAACAGCAGTCATTATACAGTGGCTGATAGTTGTACATATTAATTTCAAATGATCTAATTTAAATCGTCGATTTTTTAAAATTACTTGCTCCAAAAAATAAGTCAAGGACTCCGGAATATCGCTGTCAATATTTTCAAACATTCGACTCGGCGGGGGATAATTATCATTATCAATCACTACAGATTGAATATCCTCTCGAATAATTGCTGCGGCAGCTTTCAGTATTCTGAATCGTTCTTCGTTTGTATTTTGTTTTTTATTTTCATACCAAGCTTTATGAAGAATATCGTACTGATTGTCAATAAAACAGATAATTGTTAAACTCCCTTTTTCTCAGTTATAATAATTTTATCACCATACTTTAACATTAATCTTCTTTTAATTGTTTTACTACCTATAGCTGGACTTTTGCCAACGTCTTTCAATTCTTGCAATGAAAATTGACAATCATCATTATTTTCAATGTATTGAAATATTTCCTCCATCGCCAAGTTCACTAAATCATCTTCGGGACGACCGACTTTATATCCCGTAGTAGGCTTCAGAAAGATATTATAATAATATAAAATAAAAGTTATTGTAGTACTTAGCTTCAGCAGCAACTAAGTCAAATTCATACTCAATGCGGGCAATAACAGCTTTTGCTACGTCATCAGAACGAGTCCAAGCTACCTTTAAAATTGAATCTTTAAATTCAAGTGTAGATACATTATATATTTTACGACGAACATTCTGCGCTTTCTTCTTTTCAGCTTCTTCATTTGCTTCATCGCCGCAAAATAAACAATATCTTTTAAAGTTGAAATCTGGCTCACTTACTCGTGCTCTAGTATGAGGTGGACTTATCGTGAATGTACTACCTTGATCTGTCTCGCGCTGTCTTTTAGCTGCAACAATACTACTCTTTCGAGTGTACATTTTACGACACTGCACGTGGACTGTCACAGATTGCTTGTCTTTCAAGTATTCAAAAAACTTATCATTTCTTTCAACACTTGCATCAATCAATATCTTCATTCCACGATAAACAACAACAACTTCACTTTCTTTCAAAGGTTTATCACAAATGAAACAAACTTCTGACATTTTGTTAAAATAATTTAACAGCACAAATTAAAATTGAAAATATTACCAATAAGCACGTCTGCTCACTGCAAAGAAATTTTCAAAACTAACACTATATACTTCCTTCAAAAATGGCAGGTATGCGACCCTCCACACTCGAACAATGATGTAGCTAGCAGATGTTACTCAACGTTACCGACGAAGGGAATTAGGGACTGACTGTCTTTTATTTTAAAATACTCATTCAATTTATACAAGTTTTATGGCGTAAGTAACACAAACCAATAATTTCTTATTTTCATTTATATTGAACGTCTGATGTGTACAGGCTGCATTTTAGTGCATATTATGTAAAATATGAATTTTCTCATTATTAAAACCGCGATATCTTACGAATGGTGAGTCGTAAGAGAAAAAGTGACTGGTCCATTTTTGTAGTGAATTGTATGATCTACAACTTTTGTCTGACTTATTTTTACGATAAAACTTACCATTTTCGAGAAAAATGGAAACAACTAAATTTTGCACGTTTGACCTTGAATAAAAATTTTTGCAGAAATAGGATCGACGGGTATTTCTGACTTTTTATTTATGCTGATGTATTTAACGTCTCTGCCAATTTTCAGCTCTATGCGAATTTTGGTTAAGTTATGACTTATTTTTGTCTATTTTGAGTGGACTATATATCCTCAATTAAGAATCAAAATGCAAATGCGTTGTCACCCCTGAGGACTAAGATGAAACGCCTCGTTTCCAGTAAAAAAGGTTCCCCGGATCCCTACACTCACCAGTATAAAAGTATTTAATAAAAATCTGAAAAACGGTTAACCTTGCAGGTTATCACTGAAATTTCCGCTATGTTCGATTTCCGGATCTCTATACTCACCATACAAAACACAGCAGTATTAAGCTGCTATTTTACGCAAGGTTTTAGGCAAGGTGGTCTTACATCTCCTAGGCTCTTCAATATGTATATTAATGGCCTTATCGAGGAGTCGAACGGAACAAATGTAGACTGTCATATTCACAGTGTTTGTATCAATAACATAAGTTATGCAGACGACATGGTACCGCTCAGCCCTTCGATTGGTGCCATGCATAAACTATTAAAAGTATGGGAATCATATGCAGTATCCCATGAACTCAGATACAATGTGAAAAAGAGCGAATTCATGGAGTTCAAGGCAGGAGTCAAACCCCGACTAAGTGCTACTACCATCACACTCAACAACTCACCTCCAAAGCGTGTCTCACATTTTAAGTATCTGGGTCATTGGGTCACTGAGGATCTGCGTGATAATATGGATCTCGAGCGGGAACGCAAGGCGCTGTCTATCCGATGTAACATGGTGGCCCGAAGGTTTGCTCGACGCAGTAGGCAGGTAAAGATTGCTATTTTCAAAGCCTACTGCCAGTCTTTTTACACGGGCAACCTATGGGTTAACTATACACAGCATAAGTTTAGCAACACGCAACGCGCTGTAAACCCGTACAGCGCGTTGCGTGTGCAGTATAATAATGGGTTTAGGATGCTGATGGGGCTGCCGCATTTTTGCATCTAGTCAGGAATGTTCTCTGAAATGCACACTGATGGTTTCCATGCCATTATTAGAAAGCATGATGCATCGATGCTTAACCGTTTGCGGTGCAGCTCCAATAGCATTCTCAACACGATGGCAGATAGATGGGACTCGCCGCTGCTTGAGCACTGGATACGGCTACATGCCACGGTATAAAACACCGGTGCCCTCTTAGCGGCTGATCTCAAAAATCTCCATTTGTATTTCTAATTATTATTTATGTAAATTAAATTGATTACTAACACTAAAATTGATGTTTCACTTCAATTTTACTAACATTCCTAAATAGGTTTTCTGTTGCCTGAAATAAAGATATTTTATTTTATTTATTATTTATTTACGCTGGTATCCTGTGCGAGCGTGGTCCTTCCTCGATCACACATTCGTGCTACAGCCATAATATAGCTGCAGCATGGCTCTATCACGTATGAATGTTATTCTTTAACAATGGACCTTAAAAATCCGTCAACTCGCTACGAAGCAGCATGACAGGCTTTTCATTACTGTATAGAAGAGTAATATTCATATTTAATCTGTGTCTCGATTTGAATGAATAAAATTTATATACTCCGCGTAGGCGTTCTGCGGTTGCAAAGAAAAATGTCACAGCCTCGACATTTCAATTTAAAAAAAAACTACACAAGTAGGCCTTCCCGGTTCTAATGCGAAACGTGAATTGAGGCGTATATTTCCCCGATGACGGAAATGCAACAATCTCCGCGTATTTAGTACAAAGCTGGATGTTTACCATCTGAAGGATTGCGTTAGTCTTTCCTTTCATTGGTACGTTTGCAAATAGTTTGCAAATATTCTATACTATTCTTCACTCGACTAGGGTTGCATGTTAACGTTTTAACAGAGGTGACAAAATTTCTTTTTTTATTATAGTTTATTTAAATATTGGCCGTGTTCCGTTATTGACTGCCAGTATACTGCCGTAGTACCCTAAGGAAATATATGACGTCATAAATCGCCGCCTTTTTATGCTATAAGCAATGGCGCTTGCGAAGTAAGGTGCTCTCAGTACTTTGATCACGTGATCGAAAAAAATAACTGCCTAAAGATTTAACAGCTTCCACGAATGATTGTTATTATTATTAATTAATATTGATATTCAAATAAACTCGGACATTAAGTTTTAAAAGCAACGTCATTCAAATAATAATTTTTCTTGTTGAACAGAAAACGTGTACGTGATGAATATTTTCATTCGAAAAGAGTGTTGAAAAATGGGGATGAAAGTACACTGAACTGCGTTCCGTTTTAAACAGTAACCAGTATAACAATCTAAAAAGCAACGGCTTCATAGTATACTGAATTGACGTCACACCTTATAGTGGTTACTGTGTATATCGAAACACACCCATAGTATGTGACTGAATAAGAGTTCGAGCCTTGCCTGCACTGAGCCGTGGTAGCTCAGATGGTTAACGCTCGCTGTAAATATAACAGAACGCGGGTAACCCGGGTTCGATCCCCGCCAGCACCAATGAAATTGTTAATTGCAATTTTAAGTGCTGATTTACCACGTGCTCGGCGGTAAAGGAAAACATCGTGAGGAAACCTGCATGTCTGAGGAATAAGAAAAAAAAATATTTCGAAGACATGTGAAGTTCGCCAACACGCATTAGGGCAGCGCGGCGGACACTTCCTTGCCCTAAAACCCTCTCAGAAATGAGGGGAGGCCTGTGCCCAGCAGTGGGACTTATATAGGCTGTAACTTTACTTTTTTTACTTTACTTGCCTGCACTAAGTAAATTGCAGTCGCAATTTTAAATATTCTCGAGGGTTTTTTTTTAAAGATAATATCTTGAAATAATCGTTTATTTTCTCCGTGCCTGAAATAGATTTCCGAGAAACTTGTTACACGGGTGAGGTATTTTCAATAGTAGAGGGGACAAATGAGGGGAGTATGCGGCTCATCTGATGCTATACCTATTGTGACAACGCCATAGGAACAGCAAATGCGTTGCTGGCCTTTTAAAAAGGAGTAGGAGTCGACTTAAAAATCGCGAAGTCGAAGTTGAAGGAAAACATAGTGTGTCTCATAAGTTATATAATATTTAAACATGTGAAATCACGCGTTAAGGCATTTTACCGAAAACTTTCCTGTCTCAAGACCTTTTTAGAAATTTGAGGAGGCCCGTTCCGAGTAATAAGACGTAATTAGGCTATTACGTCACTTATTACACGATAATGACTAGACACCCATGAACCAGCCAGCTGTTATATAGACCCCATTTTTATTCTACGGTTAGAGATAGCTTACATTACTAGGGTATTCATTTACTTTGTCGATCATCATTACAGCACATAACAAGTCTACTGCTGAACATAGGCCTCCTCTAAGTAATGCCGCAAAGTAAGGTCCTGAGCCACCTTCATCCAACGACGTTTTGCATCTTAATGATCTCAGATTTACCTATTAAGTCAGGCAAAAGTCTTTGACCATACAGCTTAGTCTGACGTGTCGTTTCGTCAAAATACTTATGCGTCATATTGCAAAAAAAAATTTGGGAAGCGAAGTTGACAATTGAATATGTTAGTATTTATAATAAAATACGTGAAGCAATCTATTACAACATTTCCGTTATTAGTACACAGACTTTTAAAACACGAAAATACACGAAATACTTTTAATACACGAAATCTCACCAGTTTTACGTATTAAAATTCACTTCAAACCATAATATATACATATATATGATAATACAAGAACAGCAATCCGCCGGCTATCAAGTTCCCACCGAAAACTCCATTTCACCTGTATTCATATTTCTATTCAACATTTCTGACTGAAACCTTTACCATTTTTGCTAGTCAGCATCTCGTTATTACTCCTCTATTATTTAAAAGAAAAATAATTGCAAATAAAACTAAATAAACGCAGAAGAATCTAGGTCCGTACTTGAGTAGCCCAACGGTTGGTAATACGGTGTTTATTCAAAGTTATTCATGGAACTTAAAAATCAAAAAATCTACAAAGACTTCACGTAGAAATGAGGCTATATTGCACTATATTCTTTTTTAAATTACTCTCTTTATGCTCATTACTCATTCATAAATCAAAAATGAGTTGGTACTGATGAACTGAACTGCGTACAATTAAGAAAATAAAACTATATGTAGGCTCTGAATACTTTGTGGTTTAAGATGCTATTTTACGATATTCCTATTATCAAAAAGGATCATAGATCATATTTGTCATATTTTTAGTATCCATAAAGGATCCTATTCGATGCTCTGAGTTAAAAAAATATGTTACCACTCTATTTATGAACGTCTGAAAATATCAAAAAAGGCACTTATGGTAATTCGCAATGCTGTGTTAGTCCGTACCTTAATGTATGGTAGTGAAAGTTGGGTGAGGCAGAAAAAGTATGAAAGTAAAATTAATGCTGTAGAAGTGACTCGGAATGAAAGGTTAAGAAATTGTGTAAT